GCGGCGGCAGACACCCCCAGGAGCAGAGACGGCGGCCTTACAAGGAGTGCAGCACAGACCTCAGCATCTGAGCCCGGCCGGGGGCCGATCCCGTGGCCGAGGTGCAAGAGGAGGCTCACCCCTGAAACCATGTCCTCACCTTAGGAAGCACCTGGCACCTGACGACCCTGTGAATAGCAACAAACATGTTATGCATTTGAATTTATAAGGAAAAAATATATATGTGAACAGTGTTGTGCCTGATGTATAATATTAAAGAAAGTATTTTTAAATGCATACTTTTCTGGAAATTATTTGCCAAATGTTGCCCCGAAGGGGGATAAATTTTGTTTCTACATACACTGTAGAATTGTTCCCATCTTTGGGCAATCTTTTTCTCTCTCCTGGTCAAATAGGGCTTTTGATCATTTTCTCTAAGTAAGGGAAGTTATTGATTAATTTGATATAGACTTATGTAATGATGTAGTGCTATCTGTAGTTAGTTTTTCTTAAAAAAAAAAAAAAAAAAAGCCAAGAGGCAAAAGTTATATTTGTAAATGCTGAGGACTCTGGGATTGCCGGTGATCCTAAAATCAAGCAAACTATATGAAGAGACTACTATTGCAAATGAAGGATATTTATAGCAAATCTACACAGCACACAGAAATGTTATATTCTTGCGTCACAGTTGGTTCAGAAAACAGTTGATATTCTCCCTGACCATAAAGGTTGGCCGCCGTGACCCAAATGCAGCCCCGGTGCAGATGGCCAGGTTCATTAGCGTTACCAACACCTCCTAAGATCTCATGAAGGCAGTGCCATCATGGCCTCACTCAACTACTGGAAGGAATGGACAAAAAACACCTTCTTCTGTATTGTCTGGTTGAGGCTGCAGAGTAGATGGAGTGGGGGACAATGTGCCCAGTGTGAAGGAATCAAAAATCCCCAATAGAGAAGGTTGTGGCCCCCCTTTTAGCATAAGCCCAGGTTGCTCCTTACTAAATGGGGGAGGAGGGAATGAGTCTTGGTGGAGTTAGCTCTCTGTTGATATGTAGGGTTTAGAGGTGCTTATTAGAAATGCCAGTTTCCCTTTTGAAACTATTAACAACAGCCTCCAGAGTAATTGAAGGGGAAAGGACATGATCCCAATGGCTCTAGAGCTCATTGGCCAAGTTCTGCCCTCATGACCCTGTCCTTTGAATTTTGGGACAGCAAAACAAAACATCATGATTTTTCTTTAAACAACAACAACACATTCTTTTGCAATCCACTCCCACATGAGGTGTAATTGGGTTTGCTATAGCCCAGGGAAGTGGTTGAAATGGGAAATGGATTACTGCCTAGCTGAGCCAAATGTTTGCTTGTACCTGTTGGACCACTATAGCAAACTGCTGCTTACAATACATTGTATATTTCCGTAGTACTGTTTTGCATTTTCCATACAGACACAAACTTTGCAAGTCAATCACTGTTGTTCTCATGGTACTGTTTAAAAAAAAAAAAAAAAAAAGGAGAAAACCAGCCAATCATTGTGTGTACAGAGTAAAAATTGTAATTAATAGAGCCTGTTTAAAAACAACTGTTGCCTTTTTTCTTGTATAAAAGAGAATTTATGACAAAAACTTTAGCAGTGAGGAATGTGATTATGTGTTTATATTTCTGAATATGGAACAAATTGGTTCATTGGGATATATTTTAATGTAAACTAAATCAGGTATGTAAAGCTGTTTTAAAATGGGAGACTATATAAGTAATTCTTTAAAGCTTTAGTTGGTTTGAGTATCGTCATTTCCTCCATGGTGAGCCTGCTTGTGAACTATTAGGCACTTGTTTGCATTCTGTTCTTCACTCATTTCTTGCAGTGTGCTATGGACTTAATGCTGTTTCTGTACCGATGAAAAGCAGTGTGTGGGCCAATCTTTTTATAAAACACTATGCATATATAATATTACATTGTTCAGAGCTTTATTTGACTTATGGGTTTATACATAGCACTAGGGTGAGTAGCTATAGTTGAATAGGCATTCACAAAACAACTTCCTCAGAGAAAAAATTCTGCAGCTGCTATTTTTATCAAAGTTTTCCATACAAAACATACATCGAGCTATAGTATGGTAGTAAGGCTGAGGGAGAATACAACTGAATAATGATGTTCTTTTTCATCCATTTCCTAGGAGCCAACTTGCAGATTTTATTCCTAAGGTTCC